TATTTACTGCCATATGATATATAACATACTTATAAATTATATTTTATTAAAATTATCAACTCAAATGGAATTTTTGTTATTAATATTAGTCATGACAAGTAATTATGCGTTTTTACTAGTGATTCTAGTAAATGGTAAACATTTAATTAAATTAGTTTTATCATTTTGCACCTGTCTCGTACCAAAAGGGCTTTAACTCGTACGATCCTTTATCCTTTTGAAGCAAACCCAGTGGTGCGTGACGTTATCATCAGGTCATTATTTTGGTAGCATTAAAATTTATGTCATCACCGGAAACACTTAATATGATGTTTAGACACCATCCGGATTAAAAAAAATATATTTATTAATTTTCCATTATATTATAAAAACAAAAAATTAAACGTAATTTTATAGAGTACATATTATACATATATGCTTACACTTCAATTTTAATAGTGTGAGAATTGAACTTTTTGAAAAGTTATAAGGTCTGAAATTGCTATTTTTGTAAGCGAGTATAAATATAAATAAATAAACCAGAAATTTTTCTCTCGACCAGCTATTGGCATTTGAAGCAAGTATATTTTAGGTATGCCTTTTGTATTCGACATAAAAGAAAGCCTAACAAATTATATGACAAATGTATTAGGTATGAAAGATTTAAGTGGAAAAAAGTGTCAGAAAAAAATTTAAAACATCGTGAAGTAGGCTCATTTGTTCTTATAAGATTTTGAGTGAAATTGATTTATTGAACTATTGATTTTACTATAGTATACTTTTAATTTTTATTGTGTTGTGTCTATGTACACAATTTAAACCAGTGATTACTCCAATTATCACAACAATCATGAAACTTTTCTGATTGAGATATTGGATACATGATACTTTTAAGGTGATTTTACAATTTTCCTATAGTTTTCTTAATAATTAAATAAAAACTATGAAAAAAAATTATTGTATTGTTCGATCAGTTATATGGTTATTGAAATTTTAATATAATAAAGTGGGTTAAAATTAGTAAAATTATAGGTGCTTCACTTTGTATGTAATTTATTTGATTGAGGGTAGTTAAAATTAGGAGCTTAAGCCAATATTGATTGCTTGTATACGCAATTAGTTTGCTTGTAATTCTTATAATACATTTTAATTATTGTTAACAGTTTCAGTCAACTGAAAAATTAACAATATATGTTAAAATTGACTAACGATCGTTAGTAATAATTTTTATTGATTATTAATATTATTGTTGATCTCAATTAGAACAAATATAGTCAACTCGCGGTATAACGAAAACCTCGATATAACATAGAATAACCTTACCTAATCTAACCTTTAGAATAAAAAAAAATTAAATGTATTTTGGTCCCCTCGATAAAACAAAGATTTTTTGGCCAAAATTCACGCAATGTAACGAATTTTTACAATTTTGGAGATTGATACTCCACGTTTTACGAGTTTCTTTCGGCTATTATTATACGATAAGATAATGTTCATGTATCGTTTATGTGATACACGTCTGTTAAATATAAATATAAATTTTTTACTATCGACAAAGATTTGGCTATCTGTGGAGTTCTCAATGATGATGAGATTTGAAGAAAGCTGATGACAAAGAAGAGTATTTCAAAGATCCCCCGTAAGCTGGAATGAAGCAAAATTAGGTCTCCATCTTAAATTTTTTACAAAGATATGATATTGATAACAGTGTTTTTTGTAATATTCTAAATTTGGACAACACTATAAATTGCGTAAAAACAAGTGAATACACACAATAAAAAAAATTACTGATTTTTTAAAAAAATAAATAAGTATGTATTTAATAAACAAAAAATTTATGAATGTATCTAATAAAATATTTAATAATAATCTAATATGTATGTAGTTATATAATTATAAAAATCTAAAAAATTTAAATTTTCTTTTAAATATTGTTTAAACAATTTTTTTTTGATTTATGCTGTTGATATAATGAATTTCGATGTAACGAACTTTCGATATAAAGAACTTTTTGCTCGGTTCCTTAAAATTCGTTACATCGCGATTTGACTGTATTATACGAGGAGGAATACCAAAAAAATCAATACTATAAATAACTGATATTATATAGATTATCACTTCGAAGAATTAGGAGTAATGAGTTAAAATTTGGAATTGGTCCTCTGATCCTTGACACCATAAATTGTGTTTATTTCCTGTCTAAATTGGGATTTTCAATTCAACACTTAAATGAGTAATTTTTTTTGAATAATAGCATGTTTAATTGGGCATGTTTTCATAATATGCTGTTTTCATTTTTTTTTCTTAATGTTCATTACATATAATTAATTGTTTGTTAAAAGTCAATAACCATTGATATTATCGTGTTTCATTGTATTAAAAGGCAATAGGTTCATGTAAAAAGTTAAATTACAAAACATTAAATAAAATTGATTTAAATGAATGTTCGAAAAATAAACAATGATCTCTACATTAGTTTTAATATTATATTTTTCTTTTACTATAATTATGTTTTAAATGTTTTAATTTATTTTAGCATTTCAATATTTATCAACTGTAGTAAGTTCTAGGTTAATTGAACTTAATTTGTTACTATTATTATAAAAAGTATATTATGTATTTATTTTTTATATTTTTTTATTAATTAACTAAATTTTTATTAATGAAACTATGGTTTAGCGTTCTTGAAATTTTACGTCTTATTTTTTATTACTTCATGTTATAATTATTTGTTGGATTATGGATTATTATCTTTTAAAATTTTCATCTTTATCTCTAAATTGCATTTATTATATTTATACTTTCATGATTTTAGCCAGACTTCTTAATTTGTTTTTCAGTTTTCAACTTTTAATCATTCTATGTGTATTCACTTCTTATTTTGATAACTTATTGATGATAATTAGCGTTACGAAAATATGCGAACGCCTTTTAGTTACATAGTGTTCTCGTCACTTGATTTACTTCGTCATAACGTTAATGGCTATAAGTACATCGCCATTCCATAACACCCTATGATGTTCACAAACTATTATTGTGTTCATCTGCATTATACCAGATAAGGTTTTTTAGGTTTTATAAATTAGAAAATTTAATTTCAAACCAACCAAAGGCGGAGTGAATTAATTTCTTAAAATATAATTTTTTAAATGAATCCTGCATTACTAAAATACAATGAATTAATTTTATCAAAACATAATTCAGGTACTTGTAAATGTATACTTAAATCAAAAGGATTTATCTTAAGGCGTTATTTTATGGGTTATTTGTAGTATACTTGTTGAACAGTGTGTACTTAGGTTATTAAGCCATCATAACTTTATAACTGAATGAAATCTCTACGATAATGGTAAACTTTTACCAAGTTGTCTTTGTCAAAGGGTATTCATTAATACGTGTCAGGTTGTTACAGCTGATATACCTTAATAACACCAGTATGTATTGATTGATTGATGGATTTAAATTTACATATATTATTATAATAATATTATGGAAGACAACCGAGAGGTATAGATCTGCTGGTCCGTGTTAATGGACACGTCCGAGATTTAATCCCGGGCACAAAGCCGTCAAAATACATACAGCCCTCGATATGAATGATGTACGTTTAATTGGTAAATGACAAAAACCCCTTTAATTCCTAAAGTTCTCTCGGAGAGAATGGATTATTTTAATATGCCATATTTCTACGAATATAATTTGACTACTATTTAATGTTATATGTTCGAACGATTAGCATACAATGATGACAATGTTTGTAAAATTCGTAATAATATTCGTAATATATTTATAACTAAAAAAATTACTTGAATTTGGTTAATATAAAAAGCATGATATTAATAACGTAAATTTTTAAATATTAATAATGATGTGGTGTATATAAACCTCCTACTTCTTCTGTACTAACTTCAGAACCATATGTTATCATTTATGCCTGATAAAAATTATTTTGAGAATAGATGATGCATCATTTGGAAATTATTATGATATTTATATTTGGCTATTAAAAAAAATGATTTTACGGCCTAATCTTTAATTTTAATGATAAATTTGCTCCATAGACGTAGAAAAGCGTCAAGTGGCATGTAATTATATGAAAAAATTATTATGTTAATCTAAAAACCTCGTTAGGCGTGACAACGTTTAGAATAATGTCGTTTTTCTACCCTTACTTGTCATCCCGAGTTTGTCGTTTACCGCGAAACTGTTGATTTAATCAACGTGTGCCCTTGGCATATTTTGTTATACACTTTCTTCAGCTTTATCCATTATTATTATTATCTCGAGAAACCGAGTGGAGTAAAAAATTTACAGATCTTCATGTGGCGAAAACTTTTTGTTCGTAAGTTTTACATTGGAAAAAACTCACGAATGGATATAAAATGAAAAAGAAAAAAATAATGATTCCTAACTAAAAGTTACAACTGCATTTATTATAAACTAAATACTAAAGATAAACTTAACAACAGTTCACATTTTGTTGATATTGAGGATAAACTGCTTATGTTAACCTTGATTACTTTTTTCCCCATTTATATTTAACTGTGAACAATTTCAATTGATTTTAAGTATTAAATATGACCACAAACATTTTAATTATTTAATCTTTATTTTATATTTTTATTCTGTGGTGATTAAAATGATTGTTACACTGTGTATTTTATATTTAATTTGAATTACAATAATAGTAATATATAATAATTAATTAAAAGTTTAATTGCATCAATTTATTTACAATATAGATTAAGTTAGCCTAACCTAACCTAACCTACAACTATAAATACTGAAATTTTATTATATACAGAATATTTATTAAAAATGTGTGTTATTAATCAATCATTATACATATTTATACATATTGAATTTTTTTAAATTATATTTTAATTTACACAATTATTCGTAACAAGCAACTTTTAATATTATTTATTGTAAATGGATGCATTAATACATAATATATACATAATATAGTGTATATTTAAAATTTTTTTTTACAAAATACTTATTCAATTTTTGTTTTTTAGATTGCAAAAGAATTGTAAAAAATAACGCATCCAGCTACCAATTTAAACTAACAGGTAAGAAACATAATTTTATCTCATTGTATCCATATTATACGAATCAATCATTATTAATATTATTGATAATTAAATAATTTTATGAAATATAGTATAATGTTTAAACGAATAAATGTATTTTATAGAAATTTAGAGAAGTAAAGAAAACCAATAACTGTTAAATAGTAAATAATAATATGTAATGTAATGTAATTTAATGTAATAGTAAATATTTCGATTGGTTTTCTAATCTTAAAAAGAAACTGCTCGATAGTTAATTTACTCATTTAAGCACACATTTACTCGTAATCCATTTAGATGTAATAAATATAATATTCACCATATAGGTATAAATGTGTGTTATATTTTCTAATACAATTATAAATATCATGAAAACAAAATAAAGTGTCCAAAATAATAATATGGTAAATATAAATGCAATAAATGTCCATCAAATATGATCTTTTTATTGTAATATGTTTATAAAAACCTAAGGAAAAAATCCGATTGTTTCTATTAAAGAGAAAATTGCATTTAAAACTATTAAAAGAGGTAAAGTAAGTTTGGTTTCACTATACAACTATTTTAATTTTGAATTTATTTAAAGTTCAAAAGAATAATATTATATAATAAAGTCACCAATAATTATTTATTTGCAGTTTAAATGAATAAGTTTAATGTAAATTTGTTTTGTTATACCAATATTGAGTTGTAGAAACTCGACAAACCTTATGTTTGTGGTTTTATAAACGATGTAGTAAAATAACGTTTTGATACCCAAAGAAAGAATCCAAAGAAATTTTATTAGGGGCTACATTACCATTCATGGGTATTACAAAAAAATAATTATTAAATTAATGATATTTTATTGCAGTATTATATTTTTATTAATAATTATTGAAAGAATAGTATGAACGAATAAAATTATACATTCAAATTTTAAAACAGTTATTATAACAATTGTACAACATAAACAAAAACAATAAAATTAATTTCTATTAAATTAGAATTTAAATTTAAATTAATTAATTTTAAATACAATTTATATAATATTATGTATCATTACATCTATACACATATTCTACGTTTGACAGTTATAATAGTATACTAAACAAACGTGACGGAATCTGTCAAATTGAATATGTTTGTATATTTAAGCTTACTCGATAACAAAGCGCTCTGTAAAGAGACAACATTAGTTAAGCACTTAGTGTCAGGTTTAAAGAGCATCGTAGTCGTCGGGGGAGGATAGTAAATCGAATTAAGTTGGACGAAACGATGGATGGTGTATCCATATATGGTGTATATAGATCTTTCGAAATTAAATGCAAAGTTTTGAATAGACATTTATAATTAGACTGTTTATACGTGATTGGAATGTTAGCTGTAAATGGAAAATGTATCTATCTAAATATGTGAATACATATTCCTTAATTCCGATTTGCCGTAAAAATTGTGTCGATGTAAAGTTATAATTATAATATAATGTAATTCTCTTATGTATACCTAATTGGGTATAAAGTATTTGTTATATATGTTTATTATTCATGTGTGTGTGTGTGTGTGTGTGTGTGTGTGTGTGTGTGCAGTGGCGTGTGGGTAATCAAAAGGTGGCCGCCTCTAAATTTTTTTTTTTTTGGGGGGGGGTATCGACAAAATATACTTGCCTCTGAAAATTTTTGAGTTCGCCACGCCACTGTGTATGTATAGTTAAATTCAAATTATCTCATGCGTGTATTATGAAATATTTACACGATAATTTCTTAATGAAAACGTTCCAAAATCAACGAGTTCGTCGTGTTTGATGGAGTTATACTATTTATAGGTAGTTCAAAGCATTTTGATTTTTCCCCTTACTTGGTTTTACATTATTGTGGTTATGTTTCGAGCCCATCAATCAGAAACCATTTGTGTTCCAATCCAAATTGAAAACATCATGTTGGCATACCAAACAAAACAGAACAAAACATTGCCTGGAGGGTCTGTCACTCGTCATTCGTTTATAACGCAAGCCCTCCGTATCATTAAAAACGCAATAGGGTCGAGAATATTGCCTGTACATACATCTTGTTGGAATTTATTAACGCGAACAAATGGGGACTCGCTGTCTTGACCACCGTGTTCAAGTAATTGATAATAAATTCTTCTTGTTTATAGCAATTAGTAATATTATTTAGTAAATGCTTTTACTGAGTTGATGTTTATCCGACTTTATTAATATCTATTATTAACACTCATTATAATATTTTGTATTTGTAAATTCTTTAGTATTCAATTTAATACCAAATTATATATAACTAACATTTAATACCTAAATATTATTTATATTTATGGCTGAAAAAAAAATAAAAAAAAAAAATGAAAGCTTCTATTCAAAATAAATGTTTATGTAATGGTAATTATTATTTATGCATTTTTTCTTTAAAATAATTATGAGGCTACCAAAATTTTATTTATTAATGGTTAAAATTAACAATGATTTCTTAATTTGATAAGAAAATTGTAATAATTGTTATCTACTTAACACGAACAAATTATTTTTTATTTTATTCATGTAATAAAAAACCACATTGTAAACATATAAAAAAGTTTGAACTTCCTAATATATAGTCATATTTATTTTTCGAACTAAAATTAAAAACTAAAAAATTATCTTCTCATCATGTAAAAATACTTTCTGATTCAGTTGATAATTATTAACGATTTTCTACAATTTTTTCTAATTTAAAAAGTTTAAAACACAATTCTATTATGTAATTATGTATGAAAGAGATTAGTTCAGAATATAGACTTACTTAACTATTATATAGTTTATTGAAATATAACTTTATTTTTATTTTTCGTCACATAGTTCATATTTAATTTCATGTTGTATTAAGTGACAAGTTAACAAGACAAATTCTTTTTTAACTATAACGTTATTAATTGTATATTATATTATATATAAATTATTATATTTTTTTATTATTATATTTTAAAAATATGATTTCGAATAATTTTATCTTATTTGAGTTTAAATACTTTAGGTTAAAAATCTCAGGTTTTTTTTCTTTATAGGTTGCAATTTAACTAGAATTTCAAATGAGTTTCTTTCTGTTTTTATTATATTTTTTAAAGTTGTTTAGATAAAAATTGTAACAGAAATACAATTTTATTTCCGCGAATAGTTTTACAAATATTTTTATTTTTTTTTTACAATTAAAATGATCATAACTACAAACTAGTGCACACAATTTTTCAATTCTTAATATACTTATTTAATAATTAATTGAACATTTTTATAAAAAAAAAAACAACGAAAAATAATTCTTCTTCGGTACTACAGAGGAACATATCATTTACATTTCATCAAATGAGTAGAAAGTCTTTTCATTTTTTATTTTTCGTTCATTTATTATATTTGTGTTATATGTACTTCATCAAACATTTATAGTTTTATACGGAACAATATATTGAAAGAGCAGAATACTTAAGGGAGAACCTTGTGGAATTCCATTTTCCGGCTTTCATGTGGGAGATTGGAGACGTGGTTTTGATAACTTGTATGTTGAGAGCTTCTAATATATGTTGATTGGGTATAGTAGGGTAAACGTTAGATAAAATGATCCTTTTTGAAACGTTAATATGTCTACAAAAAGAGATTTTTATTTCATTAACACAAATAGAAGAATAAGTTTTAAGTACATTTTCCACGACAGTTTGACTATTAAAAATACGCAGAATCTGTTATTTGAGATTCGTAGAACGAATTGAATGTTTTCAACGGATAAAATTTTACTGATTGCGGTGACACATTCGATTTGTTTGATATTATTGATTGAATTAAATACGATTGGAGGCTATTTCGGCGAATGTTTGAGAATTACGTTTATGATGGTTAGAAGTATTAGTATCACTCATATTCATTGTAATGGGTATTTGCCCCATTATATTTAATTGCCTATTGAGTAGGTGTAATTAAGACTATAAAAATAATCATACGTGTTCCACTGACGGATATTGTAGACATTTCAAACAGGAAAAATTATATTAATATATTTTATTCTCATAACTCGTATTTATGTACAGTATTATTTGAATTGGGAATTGATACTGCATTACCACCTGGAAGAGAGCTACACTTTCTTCATTTTTTATTTTATTTATTACGATTATTTATTTTTTATGTTGAGGATTGAAAATATAATAGCATTGTGTCCCTTTAGTTACACGAGGAACAGAATTCTTCGCCCGTAAATTATTTATAAAAGGAAAAAGTTTTAATATTTTCTCATTCGAGTGTTTCCTCTTTTTCTACCTCCGGCTCTATAAAAAGTTATTTCGTCGTTTTCTGTCTTATTCATAACCAAAAACCACATGTACACATTCTATATTCTCGGAAGCGTTTCACCTAAGGCTCACTTTTTATTAGAAATTTTTATATCTCTAGTATATTTTCTGTTTGTGTTTTTGCATACCTGTTGTGTTTACGCATGGTCGATATCCATGAATCGTGATAAAAGCACGTTATTTATAGAAAAAAAAATTAATAATATTCATTTTACGCAGAATAATGACTCATACGATCGCTAAGTGTGTATCGAGACCGTAAATAATAAATAAATTGCTTCAAAAACTTAGTATTGATGTTATTTTTGTTCCAGTGATATATATATTTATTTTTTATTTTTAAGCTAGATAATTGTAGAATCTGTAAAATTACGGTTTACAATAAGCACAAGTGATAATGGAGTTTATATAGAAAAGACAAATAGTGGGTAAATTAACAGACAAGTCAAATTATTACTACTATTTACATCTATTCAGACAGGGGGTTTGAGCGAAGAGACCATCCATTGATGGGACTTTGTGACATGTTGTGGTGGGGGTTAGTCTAAAAGTAGATCACGACACCATGTTCGTTTTAGACGTCTTCTGGGGCCACCAGGAACAGTGGGAGAAGATGGTTTCGAAATCAAGGGGTTACGATGATTCTGTAGGTTGAGGTGCATGCGTTTGTAAAAAGTTTTGGCAACGTTTTT